GGTTGGTGTTGAGGTGTTGCAGCGTGGAAAGGGCACGGCGGTGTCTGTGCACGGTGAGTGGGGCTCCCGGAGCAGCTCCCGGTGGGAACCAGCCCTGTCGGGCACAGCCCCCAGCCCAGCCCGGTGGGCTCCCCTCGGGGCGAGCAGGGATGGGGAAGGGGCTCAGGTGCCGACCCCATCAGAGGGTCCCGTGGGCCGTCCCCAGGCACATCTGTGCCCCCACGGGAGACCCCACTCCCTGCAGCCCCGGGGCTGGGTGGGGGTGGCAGAGCCCGGTCTGACGGCCCCACGCTTCTCCCCGCAGCCAAACCCACCCCCCCGGTCGTGTCCGGGCCCGACCAGAGAGCGGGGCCAGGGCACTCGGGGCCTTTCACCTTGCAGGCCGGAGGGTTCTTCCCCAAAAACATCAGCGTGAAGTGGCTCAAGGACGAGGCCCCGATGTCGGCTCAGCAGCTCCAGATCACCCCTGGGCGGACGAATTCCTCCTACAACATGTCCAGCACCGTGACGATGATGCTGCAGGAGGACGACGTCCGGTCGCAGCTCGTCTGCGAGGTGCAGCACCCCACGCTGACGGCCCCGCTGAGGGGGGGGTACCCGCTCCGCAAAGTCCCGGGCGGAGGGCTGGGGGGGGACCGGCACCGGGGGTGTCCAGCTCCTGTGGGGCTGGGGGTCCTGGGGCAGGGACAGGGCACCCTGCGGGCAGCGGAGCTGGGGGACGCCAGGCACCAGGCGCTGCCTCTCTCCCCAGTTTCCCCCAAGGTCCGCGTGGTCTCTGACCCACCGAGCCCCGTGGAGGTGAACAAGACCGTGAACTTCACCTGCCACGTGGAGGGGTTTTACCCGGGAGATGTGGCCGTCACCTGGCTGGAGAACGGGGTGGAGATAAAGGTGGAGAACATCTCCCAGCCGGTGGAGACCCGCCGGGGCTTGTTCAAGCTGAGGAGCCTGGTGGAGGTCCAAGCGATGGAGGAGAAGAACGGGTCCGCGTTCACCTGCCGCGTGGTGCACGATGCCCAGGAGCCCGTCAGCGGGACGGCCGCCCTGCGGATCGCTGCCCCAGCCAGGGAGGGACTGAGCGACTGGTCCCAGACAGGTGACGGTGCGTGAGAGCCGCTGGGATGCGGTGGCTGCTGGGGAGGCAGGGGGTGTCACCCCTGAGGAAGCCCAGATCCCACCAGAGTCTGGTTCAAGGACACAAAATCCCCATATTGGGGGGCTCGGAGGGGGTGATGCTGGCAGGTACCGAGCTGTCGTCCTCGGTGCTTCAGGCGTCCCCAGGCCTTGGTGCTGGGCGATGCCCAGCTGCAGGGCCTTGGTCGGTACCAGCGGTTTCATGCCCGTGCTGACCTGTTTCATTCATGTTTTAGAGAATTTGCTCTACATCTATATCGTGGTGGGAGTGGTCTGCACTGTGCTGGCACTGCTGGTCGCTGCAATTCTTTACCTCATCCGGGCAAAGCAGAGCAAGGGTAAGGAAACCAAGTGTGTGGTAGGGATGCAGCTGCTCCTGACCCCCTTCTCCCTCTCTCTCGAGCATCGATACTTGGATGCTCAATTCACAGCTGTGCTGCTGCAGCTCCTCTCGAAGGGGAGGATGGAGCAGAGCTGACCGGGCGGTTTGCGGGCTGCAGGGAAAACTCTGCGTGCCAGGAACAGAGGCAAACGTGCTTGTTGTTCCTTGCATCTAAAATGTCTGAGGCCTCCCTGCACCTCCTGCCCTCTGCCAGCAACGGTCCTGCAGTAAATGGAGTGAAACTCCAGAAAACTTGCCTCTGGGAACAGACGTGGATCTGCTCGTGCAGCAGCCCCTGCGCCTGGGCTTGCACGCCTGGGGAAGCCGGGGGGTTACGTTCTTTCCTGAACTATTTCTTTCCTAAACTATTTTTCTTCCGGCAGGTAAAAGCTCGCCGTCTGCTAGGTAAGTGCAGATCTCCTCTAGTCACCGAGTCACCCGTGGGCACGCCGAGCTGGACCCCTCCAGCCCGCAACCGAGGTCCCTTGGGATCAGGACAGAGCTGGATCCCCAAAAGCTTGTTGGGAAAGGGAAGGCAGGAGCGCAGGCTGTGCCGGTCTCCCTGGTTGGGCTTCTGCCCCCGCGGTGACCTTGTACCCAAACACTTGGCTTCTGGGGAAGCTGAAGTGGGAGCCGGGTCTCCAGCCTGCAGAGGGGCAGCCGGGCCAGCACGTGAGCAAAGGCTCACCAGTAAGGACTCATCCTGCTGGGTGCTGCTGCCGCAAGGACTGTGTTTTGCATCTGACCCCCCCCAGCTGCTCCATCCCTAGGGAAGAGGCAACAGAGCACTCGATCGATCTGACTTGGTTTGTTCCCCCTTCCAGGTTACATGAGCCGGAGAAGAGCAGCGAGGCCACTACCCAGGTGTGTCCTGAGCCCCGGGACGCGGGGAGGGGGAGCAGCCCCAGGGGCAGGAGCCGAGGGTGGTGGTTCCTGCGTGAAACATCTGGG